ATATATATATGTCAATTCTTTTGTTTTGTAAGATTATTTTTTAATCAAGTCAATAACAAACTAATCTATAGTAAATTATACAGTTATTAACATTAATTCAAAAGACTTAGTCAAGTATAGAGTCTCCAGTATATAGATACAAACAAAACTATTATTAGTACTAAAACAATATTTTACTCATAAAAAATGTTATTTATATTATGATTCAACTTTTTATATATATATTGAGGGTTTATTTCTAAATTCAACAGTAAATAGTTTTGTTTTAATTAGATTGGTTTTAAAAGAAATACAAAATTAATCGTATTTTAAATAAAACATGTTTTTATTTGAAAGATCAAACTCACTCCACGAAACTATTACTTATGATATATATATTACTAAACCTAAGTTATTTTTGGGTGTGAAAATGTTTGAATGCTTACAAATTAAATCACGGATTTTTTTATTTTTTTTTTGTCTTTATTAATTTCTTCTGTCATTTTCCTACTTCTCTTTCTGTCCTCTCCTTTCCCGTCGTTGGTCCGTGTCTATAAATCCAAAGTTCTATAAACTGGATTCACAACTTTAAGCGAGTTAATTCCATTTTTCATTTTTAAAATTAAAAAAAAGGAAGTAATTATTTTTGTACGAAAAAATTAAGAAACTCAAACTGAAACGCACGACACAGGTCAATATTTTATAAAAATAATGTTGCATGGTTAATTTAAGTTATGTGTTCATGTTTGTTTTGACAGTCAAAGGAGAGCATAGATGCAGCTATTAGTGATGTTTTATCAAAACCATGGTTGCCACTACCACTTGGCCTTAAAGGTCCAGCCCTTGATGGTGTAATGGGTGAACTACAAAGACAAGGGATTCCCAAAATCCCTCCATCTTGTGCTTGAATGGCAAGTCTAAGAGACATGGTGAATGCCTCAAAACCCTAATTCGACGACTTCTCAGTTCTCTTCTTGTATGCCAGAATGTGCATATTTGTTTCCTATGTTACTTCTATCATATACTACGAGGGAAGAGAAACATAAATATATATAACTTTTGGAAGAGAAACATCTTTGTACTAATCTTAGTAAATCTACGAGACTAAAATAAATGATGAGGAATTTCAGAAAGTACTGTGAAATGTTTCTTCTTAATTTGGTAGACATTTTAGTAAATGACTAACTTTTTAGCTTTCGTATATGCACTACTAACTAATAGTTGATATTCAAAGGCCAATACCACTAAACCCTGTGAGATAAATAATTATTACGATAAGCAAATTGCATAATTAAATGGTTATATAGCTGTTTTTGCTCCCTCGGATAATTGATATGAAGAAAAATCGTTTGACACTCGTTAATATCGTAAAATATTTAGATTTAACTAGCTTTTGTTGAAGACCATAGTTTCTCCCAATTGGCCATTAATATATCCCAAATCAGGAAAACAAATAATGTTTTTGACATCTTGAATTATAACGAATAATTTATTAGACATAAAGTTTTAAATTCATTATATAAGAACTTGAATATGACGACTTATAACATGTAAAAAAACTAGTAATGTGAAAATGGGTTAAAGTTGAGTTTGAAAAAAATGAAATTTTTTTATATGGACCAATTTTCAACTCGGCTTATTTAGAACCTGACTCATCCGGGTTGAATCCGTTGTGAGCTGGGTTGGCTCACCAACCCACCTAATTTAATTTAATTATTAATTATTTTATGTTTCAATATTATTTGTTTTTTTATTGTATTGTAAATGAAAATAAAGAAAAAGATGTTTCAAGAGATCAACATATTATAAATTTATCCATTTAAGACTCTAATCTTATAAATAAATGGATGAGTGACAACTATTATCAATATTACAAACTTATTTATTCGCTTTTTGAGTCTATTTTTGGATTACATTTGAGTTGTATGTTACATTTTTTTATTTTGAATTGTCTTTGGAGTTTAACATCATTTTAGAGTTAAATTTATTTAAACTTGAATTACAAAAAACAATGTATTTTTTATTTAAAAAATATATAATTAAGTGAGTCAGTGAGCCAACCCGTTTAACCCATCAACTCATGATGGGTCAGGCCGGGTTCAAATTTTTTCGGCTCACTGATAAATGAGCCAGGTTTGGGTTCACTCGCTAAGTAGTCAATTCGTGGTGGATCGAGTCGAGTGACTCATTTTAACAACACTAAAAAAACGAAAGATGTCCATCAGCAAATGAATTTTTGCCTATAAAACATCATTCGATTATTTCATTTTGACATCTCCACTGGGGATGAATTAAAAAAATCATCTTTTTTTTATCAGTGAAAAGTAATTCAATAACTAATATAGAACATTTAGGGTATCCCTAACTCATTCAGACTTGCAAACTCATATAACAGTAGAGAATACTAATAAATACAAACCTCTAAATATAATACAATGCTCATAGTATAAATTACAAAACCTTTACATGAATAATAAGGTTCATTGTCAACTAAACTATAATTAGGGTACACATCAATTTTATCCCAGTTTCCTCACAACAAATAAAGGTTAATTAGAGGAGGTATGTGTAGTCTTTTAAATGTTATTCATATAATTACATTGTGGTGATGCGTCGATGGCTTTGTGGTGACACGTTGATGATCACCAATGACACAATGGAGACATGGTAGTGACACAAAGGTGAAGAACATTGGTGATGGTTGTTATTGAAGTTAGAAAAAGAAGAGAAGGATAAAGATGATCTAAAGATAGTTGTAGTGGTACAACAACAACAAGGAGAGGAGGAGATGAAAAAATAAAGGAAAAAGAATAAGAAGAGAAAAAAAAAAGAGACACAGTCGCTTATATTTTATTGACAGATGTTACCAACACCAGAATCCCTTAGTAACTCTAATGGATAATTATGAGGAGACATTTAGTGACAAATTTATGGTAATCAGTAATTATCAATTGATTTGAGGTCGTCAATAATTTTTTATTGCTTTTTGCATCTGTCTATAAATTTTACAGAAAACCACTTTATGAACAAAATTGTGTCTACTGATAGTTTATTGCTAAATAGGATTTACCGACAAATTGTATACATCGGTGATACTCTTGTAGTGTTTTGCTTCAATGTCATTACCTACAAAATAAAGTAAAAATTACGCAAACGCTAACTTATTCTACGTTTCCATTTCAAACCATCATTTACTAGCCAACTTTATTAACAAAGAGCTTTAAAGGATTTTTATTTTAATAATAATGATTTTCTACTGGAAATGTTTAATGGTTTAGGAAATGAAGATTAATTTTATTCTTGATCATTATTAAGTTTGATTGAAATTTCGCACAAGCATTATATATACTTTTTTTTTCAATTGTTGGAATCCTTTACATGATTTTTTGTTTTTTTAGCACTAAAAGAATATATATTTTTTGTATATATAAGTGGAATACTTGCTCAACCTATTTGTATGTACAAAAAGTATTTTTAATTTCATCTTCATATCTCTTTCAAGTCCACACCCTTACTAGGGTTGTAAAGTGATTCAAAGCATTCATCATTTCCCTTA